TGTTCTCTTCTCTTGTAGATAGGTAACAGGTCCTTCAGAAACAGGTAGATCCTCCAGGAATAATAGTCATAGGTACACAGGATAGCTGACAGGTCCTACAGCACACACAGGAGACAGGTCCCACAATGTCAGCTATACATTAGCGGCATCTCAAGCCTGGGGTGTAAAGGAAATACACATTCAGAAAGATCACAGGCGAAATACTAGTATAACAATTACTCACAGAGCATCATACATTGCAATATTCACATCATTTGTTTGAGTTCTAAAACCTGCTTTGGGTCGGGGGCAAGAGCAAATTCTTAGGGGGGAACGAGCAGAGCAAAATTGCAGTCAACATTCAATCAAAAGTCAACATATTATTAGGAAAACATATAATATCATGACCATGGAAAAATCAAAGTACATCTCAGATAAAATACCTCAGAACTGAAGAGTCACCAAGAACACACAAAATGCTACATATTCAAACATCAGTTCTATAGCCTCCTGTGCAGGCTCCGGCGCGGGTGAGAACGTTTCGTAGAGTTTTTAACGCGTTCTTTTATAGCCGGCCATCCTACAACCGGCCGCGAGGGAAGGTTCCATCCATTCCGCCCATGGAGCCTTCTGTGCAGGCTCCGGGGACGAGTGGGAACTTTTTGTAGAGTTTCCATGGGCGGAATGGAACCTTCTCTAGTGGCTGGTTGTAGGATGAGATATTTTGTGTCCAGTGTACTATGGGTCTGGAACCCAGGCTAGTTGTAGGATGGCCGGTTAAAATAACGCGTTAAAAAACTCTTCAAAACGCTGGATCAAAATTCCTAGCCTGGAATCCATCCGTGAACGCTTTATCTCCGCTCCGTTCCTCCGCTCTGCCCTCACGTGAAGGCAGAGCGGAGGAACGGAGCGGAGATTAACGGTGCACACCCCAGTTCTTGCGGAGCGGAGATTAACGGTGCACACCCCAGTTCTTTCGCGTCCGTTGTAAAAAAGTGACGGAAGGGTTTTGAGGGTCCAAGTTTGAGGTGACATTTCTCATAAACTGCCACGAAGTATCATTAAACATTAACATGGCTGAAGAGTGTAAGAAATGGTGATTTTGGGGTGAAAATTTCTTTTGGCTCCGAACCTTACTTCCGGGTATCCTTGCGCGCCAAGTGTAATCCGCCCGTTTGACCTAGATTTCGCTCTGCGGCTTCGTAGGGGTGGATTTGCAACCCCTCGCGCCGTGGACTGTTTAGAAAATTACAGTACTAGAATTTTCTTTATAATCTACTCGGGTATAGTCAAGGCTTGGGTCTTTCTGCCAGCATCAGTCATTTCTGCCGGAAAATTTTTTTCTATGGGATTATCCTACGCGAAAATTCGCAATTTGGGGCATTAATTTTGGAGTGAAAATAATGTTTTTTCCGTTGATTTTACCAAACTTAAAAAGGTTGAAGAAACCAAACTCAGCTGGTCTTGTAGCTGAAGAGATATCCTTTCGTCCCATATACAGTTATTCTCCTTCCG